GGATATTAGTCCATTGTTGGATGCTTAATTTGCAAGTACTTTCTCCCATTCTGTAAGTTGTCTGTTTACTCTATTGATTATTTCTTTTGCTGTGCAGAAGCTTTTTAGTTTAATGAAGTCCCATTTGTTATTTTTGTTTCTGTTGTATTTGCTTTTGAGGTGTTGGTCATGAATTCTTTCTCTAGGCCATTGTCCAGAAGAGTTTTTCTTCATTTTTTTCTAGGATATTCATTTAGCATCAGGTGTTCTACTTAGGTCTCCAGCCCATCTTAATTTTTGTATGTGATGAGAGATATGAGTCCAGTTTCATTTTTCTGCATATGGCTATCCAATTTTCCCAGCACCACTTATTGAATAGGGTGTTCTTTCCCCAGTGTATATTTTTGTTGACTTTGTCAAAGATCAGTTGGTTGTAGGTATGTGGTTTTATTTCTGGGTTCTCTATGCTGTTCCATTGATCTATGTGTCTATTTTTATACCCATACCATGCTGTTTTGGTTACTGTGGCCTTGTAATAATAATTTAAAGTCAAGTAATATGATGCCACTAGCATTTTTCATTTTTCTTAGGATTACTTTGGCTATTTGAGTCTTTTTTGGTTCCATACAAATTTTAGGCTTTTCTAATTCTGTGGAAAATACACAAACAAATAAATGTGATTCACCACATAAACAATACAAAATAAAAATCATATGATCATCTCAATAGATGCAGAAATAAGTATTCAATAAAATTCAGTGTCATTTTATGATTAAAAAAAAATCTTCAACACACTAGGCATAGAAGGAACATACCTCAAAATAATAAAAGCCATATATGACAAGCCCATAGCCATCATCATATTGAATGGGGAAAAGTGGAAAACATTCTCCCTATGAACTGCAGTAAGACCAGGATGCCAACTTTCACCACTTTTAATCAACTTAGAAAGGAAGTCCTAGCTAGAGCAATCAGGCAAGAGAAAGAAATAAAAGGCATCCAAATTCGAAAAATAGGAATTTAAATTATTTCTGTGTGCTTGTGATGTGATCTTATGCTTAGAATATCCTAAAGACTCCTCCACAAGACTCCTAGATTTAATTCATGTCCTCAAGAAAGCTTCAAGGTACAAATATCAGTAACATTTCCATACACCAATAACAAGCTGAGAACCAAATCAAGAATTCAAACCCATTTACAATAGCCACATACAAATAAAATATCTAGGAATACATTTAACCAAGGAGGTGAAAGATCTCAACAAGGAGAACTACAAAATACTAATGAAAGAAATCTTAAAAAAACAAATGGCAAAACATTTTATGCTCATAGATTGAAAGAATCAATATCATTAAAGTAACCATACTGCCCAAAGTAATTTACAGATTCAGTACAATACCTATCAAACTACCAATGTTATTTTTCACAGATCTGTCTTTAAAATCATTATTTATTTCTTTATCTATCAATTGAGTGACTTATTTTACTGACCTTTTCATTCATTTCTAGAATTCTACTTTAATTCTGTTTCAAATTTACCTATTTTTTAAGTTATTCTTTTTGTGTCTTAGTTTCTATTATTCTTTAATCTTTTATCTCTTTGATCAGTTTAATCTGCTTATTTTAGTATCTCTTTTATATTGTTTTATTACTTATATTTCTAGAGGCGATATTTAGTTCATTTACTGATGTTCATTTCACTTGCTGATTTACCTTGTGCAAATTAATTATACTGATTTGCGTGATTTTTAATATTTGATTGTGATGTTATCTTCAACAGCACTTTGGGAGTCTTGCTGCTCTGAAAGTGTCTCTACAGAACTCATTACATCTGTCTGTTATTCTCTATGGTCTGCACTAGTACTAGACTAGTTTTTACGTTAGCTTTTTGTTTTGATATCCATATTCCATGGGTATTTGAAGTCATATTTCACAACTATGTGTGGTGCAGATCTAGGGTTCTGATTCTGCATTGGTGATTTATTTATTGACACAACCCCAGGTGGATTGCAAACTTCTTTGCTGTCTCCCAGGAAAGGCAGTCCAGGTTCTTCTATTCCTTATTCCAGAACTGAACAGATATCTTCATGGCTTCTATTATTGGGCAGGTAATTTATCTATAGTATGAGCTTGAGCAGATCTTCATGGCTTCTATTATTTGGCAGGTAATTTATCTATAGTATGAGCTTGAGCTCTGATGCTTTAAATATCTTCCTAATGCCACTATCAGAGAATCCTAGTTCCTGGTTCCCAGGTTTTAAGCTCTATGTGATGTTACAGTAACGATGTAAGCATTTTCAGCTTTTGGTCCACTATCTACTCTAACTTTGTGCTACCTCTTCAGCACCAGGGAATTTTCTGTTCTTAATTTCTTTTTCAGCTATGGATGCAAATAAAATTTCTCATATTCTATCTGATATTTTTATAAGTTTGAAATAGGAAAAGCAATTGTTGATTTCACTCAATTTGCCATATTCATGATTCTGTAATTCTGAAACCAATGAGTATAGCATGAAATTTCCTTTATAACACTAAACTATTTACAAAACTCAATCTGAATGTGAAAGTTGCAAGAAAGTATATCCACTTTCCTTAATTAAATTCTTTATTGATACAACCTGGGGCAATGCATTCATTTCTGGATACCAAAGTTTGATAGGGAAATTGACAATATGGTCCACTTCTGGAAAACACTGAAGTAATGAAGAGTCTAGAAACTCTACCATGATGGGAATGCTTAAACAATGAACATTGAGAAACCTGAAAAACAGGAGACCCAGAGGGCACATGAGCACTGTTACCAAATATTTGAAAGACTTTCATGTGGAAGGAGTATTAGCCTTTTCTCATGTAGTTCCAGAGAATAGACCCAGGAATATGCTACAGAAAGCTAGAAATTTTGTGAGTGATCTCTGACACTGATTCATCACATAACAACTTTGGACAAACTACCTCCCCATTATGGACCCCAGGATTCACATCTGTAAAGTGAGGAGGTTGAATCATACAACTGCCAAGATCCTTTAGCTCTAACAGATTTTGGTTCATTTTTTAACAAAGTTAATGAGCACAATTTTTCCAACGATGAATCATTGGGCACAGTTGATGAATGACCTTGATTTCCCTTATTTCATTCCCACTCAAAATAATCTATTGCTTGTTTCATTCCACCATGACAGCAGACCTCAAGCCAAGTCTCCATAATCTTCTTTGATCCAGAAATTATAGGTTAAGAATGCCAGAAATGGAGCTGAGAATGGTGGCTCACGCCTGTAATCCCAGCACTTTGGGAGGCCTAGGCTGGGTGGATTGCCTGAGTCTGGGGGTTCAAGACCAGCCTGGGCAGCATAATGAGACCCAATCTCCACAAATAATACAAAAATTAGGCCAGGCATAATGGCATGTGCCTGTAATCCCAGCTACTCAGGAGGCTGAAGTGGGAAGATCACTTGAGCCCTGTATGTGGAGGCTGCAGTGAGCTGAGATTGCACCACTGCACTCCAGCCTGGATGACAGACAAAGTAAGACCTTGTCTCCAAAAAAACCATTATATCAGGAAAAGATAATGGATTTTGATGTCATACAAACATACAGACCTGAGTATCAAGTCCAACTTTTACCTTACTAACTCTGTGTCTTTGAGCACCATTTAACTTATCTGAATATCAGTTTTCTTCTCTAAAATATGAAATAATATATATTTAATGGATTTAGTAATCATTAAAAATTTTAAAACCAATATAAAAGCGTCCAACACATGATAGGCATTTAACAAACATTAGTAAAATCCAAAATCAAAACCAAATGTTCTGTATTGACAATCGATAGAATCATGTCTATGACACCAGGACATATTCTAATCATTTGAACATGTTACATCATCATGTATTAACATTGCAAAATTTATTCTATTCCCACCACAATTTGTATGCATTCCAAACTCTAGTGATTAATTATTTTCATACAAGGTACAGTTATCTGAATTACTCCAATACCTTAAGTATCTCTCAAAAATTATCTTTCCCTTGAATTGTTAAACCATGGGGAAATCAAAGCCCAGTCTCATAAATATTTGATTTAACAACAAAAAAATTGCTATCCCTCTTGGTAGCCAGTTTTTCTTCCAACTTATCTCAGGCCTCCTTCATTATCTCTTGGCATGGAGGGATTCAAGCCTCTTATATTTCTGCTATCACACCAAAGTTGTATTTTATAAGCTGACATCTACACATCTATCTCCTGACATCTGAGAGGATCTTAACTTGGTAAACAATACAACCGGATTCATTAAAAATTTCTAACTCATAGCAACTCCATGAAAACTTCCTCTAGTTTTCTGATGAATTTTGCTTCCTGGGCTCCTTTGTCTTGAGTGTTTCAATCTGGTAAAGTTGTTTTAGTCTCTGGGAAAAAAAAAAAAAAAAAGAAAAGAAAAATTATCTACACTCTCCAGATATATAGGGGTGGCTATAATAGAATCATGATCAATGGACTGGAAATGTTGAAGACAATCCAATTGAGCTAATACAGTGAATGAAAACAAATTTGAACTTGGGTTCTGAAATTAGAGTCAGTTCAATTTGAGAGTCTACCACTCACTAGTTGCATGACTTTCAACAAGTTGAGAAAACACCTAAGCTTCAATTTCCACATTAGCAAAAAGGATGGAAAACACTGTCTTCAAATATGCAGCAGGAAAAAAATGCTAGACTACCTCCAGTAGCAGAAAATACATGAAAGTCTGCTTCAGAAGACATCAAGAACAACTTGGAGAAAATAAAAGTAGTAAAGCTGGAAGCCCCTTGATAGTGGGTGGAATGAATCCCGAGAAATGTTTTATTATATTTTTTAACATTATACTAAAATGGTCTGGAAAACAAAAAGCACATTACTATATGTGTTACTTTATTCTCATGCTGCTATGAAGAAATACCTGAGACACAGTAATTTATAAAGGAAAGGGGTTTGACTGACTCACAGTTCTGCAGAGCTGGGGAGGTCTTAGGAAACTTAAAATCATGGTGGAAGGTGAAGCAAACACGTCCTTCTTCACCTGGTGGCAGCAAAGAGAAGTGCAGAGTAAAGTTGGGGAAAGCCCTTTATAAAACCATCAGATCTCCTGAGAACTCACTCACCATCATGAGAAGAGCATGGAGGTAACCACTCCTGTGATCCAATTACCTCCCCACCAGGTCCCTCCCACGACAGGTGGAAATTATGGAAACTACAATTCAAGATGAGATTTGAATGGGGACACAGCCTAGCCATATCACTATATTAAAATTCAGCCTATAATTTCACAAATAAGATATGTGATATAGACACCAGAATTGATCATATAAGCCCATGGTCAGAAGCAGTAGCCACATCATAATACATAATGCTTCTTGAGCACTAATACTGTGCTAAGGATCATGCTATGTGTTTCATGTGCATATTTATGTGCATATCTCATTGATCTTTTTTATGTTGTGTGCATACATAGCTCACTTAACAACCCACAAGGAAAGTATTGTTATTTTGACCCCCATTTAACAGATGCTGCCTTAGCCTGGCTTCCATCTGAAAGCAGAACCTGAGCCAAGGGCTTGTGTGCAGTAATTTGAGAACCAATGGCAGGCAACAGAAGTGATGAATGGAGGAAAGAGAAAAAGCCAGTTCAAGAAGGCATTATCCACTGGCCTCCATTGTACTGCTCATCCCCTCCCCTTTTTCTAAGTACTCCCCACTTCCATTTCCCTCTGATTGTGGAATCCTCCTTGGGACACTAACTGTCTTGTACATTCAGGTTACCTGTGTGTGAGTGTTGAGTAGGCTCCTGCAGGCACACTGGGACAGAAAGCAGCACACACTTAACTGAGGTGCCATCAAGGCTAAAACTGGTAGGAACTTGGGCAGAACAGTTTACACTAGTAGTGGCTAGAATAGAGAGGAGGCCAAGAGAATGGGAGGCAATGAGTTTACAAAAAGGATCCCACAGAGGTCAAACAACTAAGGTTTATAGAGATTGTCTTGCCCAAAGTAACACAAGTTGAAAAATGATGGAGGCAATTCTCAAATCTGTCTTCCATTTTAAATGCTCTTCTCTTTCCATTCCCCAAATATGAAAAAGGTAAAGATATAGACAGCTGATTTTCTAGATATAAAATATCCCTCCCTGGTGTTTCTCCTGCTTGCCTGTTCAGTCTTACCTACCACCACTCTCTTCCTATGATCCAATTGTACTATAATACTTGCATGTCTTCAAAGTAATTAACTGGCTTGCCCAAGTGCACAAGCCAGTAACCCCAGCCTGGGTAACTCCAAAGCCCATGTTCTTAGCAGTACCCTACACTGTATTTCTACTGCTTTCATTAAAGAAATCTAAGATTGCATCAGTCAGCCCATGACTTTATGTGCTTGCTGGCTAGCATGAATCTAAAAATAAGCATTGCTCCAATTTCCCAGTTATTGGGTATAAGTGCACTGACCTAGGAGCCAGGAGCCCTGGGTTCTAGTCTGCCTCTAACTCCCCCTGGGACTTGGACCTTCCTGCACTCCCTTACTCTGGGCTTCAGTTTCCTAGTATTTTAAACTATTCAGTTGAAACAAATCTTCTCCAAATTCTCTTCTAGCAGTAATGGTTTCTGCACTGAAGGCTATTATAAAAAGAGATCACAATTCTTTCCATTTTCTCTTATCATTGTTTTCCTTAGGAATAATGGAGAAAAACTTCTGTCTGTGTTATACAGGAAGATAGGATCAGATCAAGCTCCAAACTTTTGGTTTACCCTGGACAGCCTCTCTGTGAGTGTTGAAAGTGAAGACTGCTGGGATGAGGCCGGTAGAGACAGGTTACCAGATCATTCCAAACTTGAAATTCATAAACTTCTTTCCAAATATGGACAGGTGTCCTATGAAAACACATCCTCAGAATCTTCCTGATATGTCTTTGATAACTAGAGAAACAACAGGGTCCTTTGTCTTGCACCAGTTAGATAAATGACACGGATACACGTGGAGTGGTTTAAAGGAGGGGAAAGTTTAATAGGCAAGAAAGAAGAAAGTATCCCCGTATAGAGAGGGAGGCGGGCTCCTAACAGAGAAAAACCCCGTATGCAGCAGAAAAGTAGCCAGTTATACTGGGAGGCTGGAGGTGGTGTCTGATTTGCATAGGGCCTAGGGGATTGGTTTGACCAGGTGTGTCATTCACACAGCCCATGAAAAACCTGGCCCTCCCACCCTAGCGTTTTAATACGGAAATGCAGGTCACCATGACATCCTGCACATGTGGAGTCATCTGGAGGCGGCCATGACACCTGGCACATAAGGTGACAAAGAGGGTGAGAATCACTATGTTGGATGGACCCAGTTTCTAATTGCTGGCATTCACATATCAAAGCTTGCCAGGCTGGCTTTTCAACACACCTTTCTATTAGAAAAGAAATGTTTCAGGAGCTGACTCTTTTCAAGGGAAAAGCCTTTCTGAGGGCTCCTTACCCTATCTCCCTAACATAATTTCTTAATAACTCCTGTATTATTCCTCCCTCAAGAGAAGTAAACCTAACTGCTGTTAGGGGGTGTTGGATGACGATTATTTCTGACTACTTCCTGCTGAAAAGGGGTGTCATCTGGAGGGACAGCTGTTGGACCGTTTCCTGAGGTTGATGTAAGGGTTCTCGGAAGAATGGCGTGTCCATGTGTGGCTCTGCTCACAGCACTGTTTGGGATTAGATTGCTTCTAGGTGAAAAGAGATAAATTTTACAAGAAGGTTTAAAATATAGGGTCACAATATGAGCATTAAGACTACCACTGTTAATGGGGGTCCTACAGACCATAACTGACAGAAGAGTTTGATACCTATTAGTTACACCATTGGATTGTAATACCTGTTTCCTTCCACTAGATATTGCTGTACATTACTAGAAACAATATAAAGTAACATTCCTTTTAGGATTAGTGACATTGGATTTGAGTGGCTAGAGTAACTTTAGTGTTAGCCTCAGCTAGATTTTTCCTGAACCTTCTTTTCATAGCCAGGGTGTGACATATTACCAAACTCAATAAGAAGGTCTAGCAAACTCAGTGATAGTAAAACTCTCATGCTTCTTTTTTGTTGGTGGCTATTAACCCTGCTCTAAGGATAATAATTAAGCAAAATATTACAATGATGGAAACTCTCTGTCCAATATTTCAGTTAGAATGTGCCACCATATATAGCTCTACTACAAATAGTACAGAGACTATAGCAATTCCTGCAAGTGTGGTGTGGTGGATAATTTCCATCTAAAATTATACTTGCTAAGATATAGAATTTCCTTTTAGGGGATCCATGAAGTTTCTTCATTCTATTTCCCTCAACAAAGAAACCTCTGGGTTACAGGCACCCTACTCACTTTCATTGCCTGGCAGAATTTACAGGATAATTGCCCAGAACTAGCATACTGATCCAGATTTTTACATTACCCATTCCTTTTTGTTTCTTCCAAACTGCAGAAGATCACCACTTGATTCACAGGAATAAGCAGGGTTAGTCTAAAATGTAGACAAAAAACTTAAAAACAATCAATAAGACTAGGATTTAATGCATGATAAGCTTTCAAGCATAATTTCTCTCTCTAGTCCTCATTTTTGGTAAAAACAAATTATGATAGGACCATGTTGTTTGTAGAATAAACTTAAATCTTATACTTGGCCTGATTATTTTCTTAAAGCACAACAAGAATAATTATTTCTACATAGGCCTTTTGGATTGCTTTTGATGGAACTCTGTTCCATAAGTAATCTCAGATAAGACCTGTTAAAGCTGAGCCCAGCCATGGGTTTATATCCTCAGATACCTGTAAGTTGGGTGATCCTTTTCTCTTGAGGTCCTAAGATAAACTTGGAGCTCCTGGACCTGTTAGAAAGTGGCATTCTTTACTGACCACAGGTTAGGAACCCTTTGCAGGGACTGTGTAGATAAGATATGAGGCCAGTTCTCAAGCCCCAAGGGGCTTTTACTGCCTCTGCCTGTCAGGTTTTAATTCCTTAAAGGGAAACACACCCTTCCAGTCAAAGCCTTGGTAAAATAACCAGGTTTTCGAACTGTGTCCTCTTGAAAAAGAAAATGGATTCTTATTGCACTGATGCAAACAACTATATTGTCATAGGTTAAGAGTACTTACAGATAGTTTCCAAATTCTAGAGGAACCAGGCAGAGAGAAAAAAACATGCTCCAAATTTTGTTTGCAGGAGTATACCTTACCTAATTATTAAAGGCCATAAATAGTTCAAAATAAGTTTCCTCAACTTTGAAAAACAAAACAAGGATCAGCAATGTTTTAAGCAAAAGTCCAGAAAGTTGCTTTAACTTTCTGAGTGCAGTCCATTTAGTTAACTCTTGTTTTGCATGATATTCATGAACATGCCAGTTTTTTGTGAGTCCTGTACATTTTTTCTCTATTCCAATGTTATAATCTTCAAAGCTATTGGACACCTGCATTTGAGAACACCTGTTAAAGTCCTTAATATAACTTGATTATAAACCATCTTTTGAGAAGGAACAAACCAAGACAAAAGTTGTCTGTGAATGACAAAATGTCCAGGGTAGTTACATTTAAAAACATGACTGACAAAGAAGTTTAGTTATCTCCATAGCTTACAGTTAACTTTACCCTCAATTATGATTGATAGCATATATTCAGACATTAGAATTTTAGAAATCCCATACAGTTTTATAAAATATATTAGTAGTATTCACCAAAATATAACTTAAAGAAGATTGGACATTATTTTGGCAATCTCATGTGATTAAAAAATGCTAAATAATTTGTTTCATCTCTTTTCTGAATGTTTCAAGGGCCCTCTGAACCATCCAGAAATTCAGGCATCAGGAAAGATAATTTTGAAACTTGGAGTTTGATTTTGAGATGCCCGTTAAATGTTAGAGGTTTAAAACACTTGATGTTATGAAATAGAATTCCAAATTGGCACAAATTATTTATTTTGCCAAAATAATGATTCAAAAAAATAAGAAAACTTTTCATTAGCCTTTACTATTACATGAAAATCCTGTTCAGAGCCAAATTTTACCCTTGCATTAGTTTATTAATGTTAACCCCAATTTGTTTAAATAAAACCTTATAGACAATTCCACCTAATCTTAACCAATTTGACTGTGAGGCAAAATCTTTACAAGCCCTTTATAACCCCTTTGGCTAAAGGCAGATTACCATCATAGGAAAACCTTTTTTGTGCTTTTATTTCAATGCTTAAATTATGAAAAGACCATATAATACCCCTTTGAATTCAGTTAATGTTTATATATTTTTGTAAGATTAATTTTTACAATGTTTCCACAACTTACTTAAACGTTCAGCTTTATCTTATTAAATTTAAGATAATCCCTTATCCCTAGGCAAAATTTACATTTCCATGTTTCTTATAATCTTTTACTAAAAAATGTGTTTCACTGGTTTTTATATGCCTTGCATGTAAAACTGTTTAATGATCTCAAATACATACGGCACTGTTAACTCTTAGCAACTTTTACTTTTGGTGAAAAAGTCGGTTAGTAAGCAATTTTAATTATGTACCAGCTTAAAAATTAAAGTCACGTGAACTAAAAAATATTTGATTTAAGTGCTTATTTTTCTTTAAGTCAATTAATTTGAGCTCTTTCTATATACACTACACGTAACATATATATAGCACATATATAGTGACACAAACAAACTGAAGATTCAGCACTTGTAAGATTTTTCATCTGCCACTTTTTTAATTGGATTGCTGGCTTCAGGATGGAGCCCTGGGAGGAGCAGGGGCAAGATAGCATGCAATTTTAGGGCCTAATAAGCAAGCACCGCTGAAGGCAAAGACAGATCCCTAAAATTAAAGAAAGCCTTTGATTTTGAGAGAGAACTATCTGCTTTTATTCCTGGGGTTTCATGAGAAAAACAGAAGTTTTTTCCCAAAACAGGGTCTGTGGCAGCTCCTCTGTTTTCCCATGGAGTCCCCTGCTACCAGAAGTTATCTTATGGCCTCTCATGCATGCATTAAGAGTGACAAAACAAAAAATGGAAAAAAATAATTTAGTCAACTGAGACCAAAAAAAACCTTTTTCCAGAAAAACAAGATCCAAGAAGAGAAAAACGTAAAGGCCTTTTAAATATACCTATAACTTGAATATTCACTTTTAATTAAGCTGAGTGCTCTTTAAATCCCTTATTATTCGACTTTAGCCATGCCAAGCATTTAAAAATTTTCAGCTTGTGAATTTTATGAAAAGTAACCTCACAGGTGAAACCAACAAGCCTTAATTATGACTTAACCACAAGTATACAATATATTTTCAAAGGGGGTGATAGGCAGCTTTCGAAACCATCATTGCAAAATTGTGACTGAGATAGTGAAAGACTTCCAACTCAACCAACTCCATCTTGTTTCCGGCCCCCAAGCTGTCCTTGCCTATCCCTGGACGTAGGCCAAACCAACTTTGGGAGGTGCCTGGTTTACAGTTTACAGTCTAAAACAAAGATGGTAATAGCCCTTTCTTAAGATATACTTCCCTCTTGCCTGGTGACTAGACCAAAAAACTAGCCACAAGATTAGAGACCATGACCTAGGAGTCACGCAGCTGGAGACTACAAGATTCTGACCCTCCCTTAACTGCTCTCAAGATTAGTGTTTAAGATATTTTGTAAACCCTGCCCTTGATGGATTAGCTGGCACCAAACAGATCAATAAATTGGCTTATCTGATTTTGTGGCCTTCAGCCAGGAACTGACTTAGCACAAGAAGACGGCCACCATTGTAAAATCATGGCGACTAAAACAAAGTATTGCCATATAGTTACAGGTCATGTTCCCAAGGACATGAAACAAGATAGAGGCCTGTAGCCATGTTTGTTACTGACCATTTTGTTTGACTGGCTTGAACAGCAGGCTTATGGGGTCGTGGGCCTGCATTCTAATTTAAGGTACCCTGTCTTTTGACAGAACCATACAGAAAGACATACAAAGCACGTCAGATTAGCTACAGCTTAAGACCAACCTCACGTATCCTTTCTCATTAATTAAAACTTTACAGAGAATACAAACAATAATCCTTATTATCCCTTTTACCAGTGTGCACAGTAAGAGAGAAGCCAAAAGCTCAACTGGTAAAAAAATTTTACCCTTTTGCCAGCATGTCAGGCTTCTGGTTTCCCTTCCCCCTAGCTCAACTCTAAGCCATGCATTTTAAGGTTTGGAAAATTAACTTTTCCCAGGTTGAAAGAACATTATAAAAGAACCATTTTAAACTGTGAAAGAAGGAAAAACACCATAGACCTGAGTTAAATTGTGGAAAGTTTCTATATATGTCTTGGGGTCTTCAGAAAATTGGCCTAAGTCTGCCTTTATTTGCTTAAGGTCCTGTAACGAGAAGGGAATTTGAACCCTCATGGCACCATTCCCATCAGGCATTTCCTGCAGAGGTAAGAGTGAAGAGGGGAGAGTGGGTAATACTGGAGATGGTGGAACTGGAGAAGCTGATGGTATGATTGGAGGGGTACTGGAACATTCAATAGCAGTCTCAGATTGCACCTCTGGAATCTACTTCAGCTCTACGGACTTGCCTGCCATGGCTACTAAAAGAACTGGGTTCATTGTACAGAACTTGTAAAAGTCTGGGTTATCTCACAGGGCAAAGAAAGTCTGTACATAGGGGACCTCAGTCCATTTGCCCTTCCGTCTGCAGAAAGGATCTAACTGGTGGATAATATTAAAATCAAGAAGGCCATGCCCTTCTGCAATAGAATATGAGGTGCTTTTTCTCCAAAGACTCAGGGTCGAAAGAGTGCCAGTGCTTTAAAATACATTCCAAGGGAGTGTCTGCTAAAGACAATCTGTTACCCATCCAGAAAGAGAAGTGAGAGAAGGCATCCCTTTAGTCTCCTTCCCTTTCATATGTGACCCAGGGTGGAGAAGAAAACAGTGGGAGTATCCCCCCAACTATTTTCCCTCTCTGATTCCTGGGTCCTAGCACCCTGTTAAATGTGCTACCCATTGCTATAGGTATGACCCTCCAAGCCATGACACCAGAGGGACTAGACTTTTGAGGCCTAGTCATGCTTACCCAAGTAGTCCTAGTCCTCTGCCTATTATTTCCCTTTGACCTCCTAGACTTATGTGACCTGTGTGCCTCCCCCGGCAAAGAAAAAACATGGATCTTGGGACAGACTATATAAAAGGCAAGGCTCCCTTAATGGAGGAAATTTGCTAGATTGCCTGCTATTATGGCCCATGCTAAAGCATCTACCCTTAGAAAAATGGTTTCGGTTAACTTCCAGACTTAAAGTCCTCTTACTAATTAAGTACTGTCTTAATTGGAGACGAAATAGGTGCCTTAAAAGAGCATAGGAATCAAATGGCTGTTTTCCTGCTGATGGGACAATATTAAGACTAAAATTTGGCTGTGGAAAACATTTAACTCCTAACTGTTGAAGGCAGAGCTCTCCCGTTCACAGAAGTAGCATAATGCCTAGTTTCCAGTAAAAAAGCACAACAAGGAAA